ACCTAAATGGACAGGAATGTGATTATCATGAAGAGACCCCTGGGCTGGGGTTAGGAGATGTGGCTCAGCCACCAACGAGTTGAGTTCTCTGTGGTCTCGGACAGGTCACGCCTCTGTCCTGGGCCTCTCTTTTCTCCCCTGTAAATGAAGGATACTGGAAGACGTGATGATCTATCAGGGCCACCCAACAAACAAGTGTGTGGGCAGGTGTAGCTCTCCCCAAGCTTCCAGTGGGACCCCCCAACTCCAGTCTAGCCCAGGACTCTGCACCTCAGATGTCTGCAGATGTCTCTGCAGCGTGCTGGGAGCGGGGATTAGGCAGTTCCTGAGACGGAAAGCCTCCAAGGTCTAAGTAGAGCTGGACTCGGCCTCTTTTTGGCCAAACAGGCTTCCAGACACACCTAATTTGGGTTCTTGTAAAGCTTTCAGCAAGTAGATGCCAGGCAGGCCCCATAGGGGAGCTGTCCTGTGTGGGAAAACTCATCAGTACCATCAGCGTTATGACTCCCTCCTTTTCCCATCTTCTGCCTTGATCCTCTCCCCCTGCCTGCCAGATCTGTTCAGAGTTTGGGGAAGAGAAAAGCCCAATATCCCAATGAAGGTCAGAATCCTCAAACAAGATCTTTTTTGGTCTGCCTCCTGTGTAGCATTTTGACCAAGTGGGTAATGAGTTGAAAAGACCATAAAGTCTGTTTTCTCTACACCTACCTGTTGGTCTCTTGTTGAGAAGGCAGGGTAGGGGAGAAACTCCTCTTACTGGTGCGCTAAACCACAGGGCTGCACGTTCTGTCCCTCCTTGTGGAGGTGGAAACAGGTCTGTCGTCTTCGTCGTCGTTTTAACAGAAGCAAACATTTTCATTGCGGTGCCCTATTCTCTGAGGCTCCTGAGAATGCACCAAGTGTGCAGGGCCCCTCCCTGTGCTGTTGCACACCATCTCAGGGACTGAGTCCAGACACTGATCGAGTGGCACACAGCTCCAGGCTGAGTGGATGTAGCAGAGACACAGAGGATGGAGCTTTGGCTGGATGTGGGTGACCATCAGGAATTGATAGGCTTCTGACTTCATGGAGGAGAAGCTTTCTGGCTCATAGAGCTCCCAGTAATGCTGGGGGCCATGCTGGGAAGTACACGAGCAGAGCCTGGTCAACACCTACTCGGGGGTGGGAGAGGAGCTCTGTGCCTTGGGTACATGAGTGTTGAGATTCATCTGTGCCTGTCTTGAGGTCATGGTGGGGTTTTCTCTCTGGGTAATTGGCTAGCCTGGGCCAGGGTTCTCTTGTCTTCAGTGTTCCAAACCCCAGCTCCAAGTCATGGGGAGGAGACTTCTGAGAAGACTTAACAGCCCACTGCCTGCCTCTCCCTACTGGCCAGAGAAGTTGCTGGGCTGGCCTGGGGCCTCACTCACCAGCCACCCGCTCCCGGCCCTTAATACTCATTGGCCGTTTGTGTTGAGGTGGCTGCTTCGAGGCGAACTTGTACCACATCCACTCATTCAGGGACCAGTTACTAGAGTCCAGCAGGGAGCTTCTGAGGGAGGTAGAGAGGTGAGGCACACGTACCAGCCTGCCCTCTGAATGCCGGGGGGCCTAAGCAGCCATGATCCAGGGCCAAGAGACAGCTTGGAATGGCCCTCCAGACCCGGTTTCGAGCATTGGCCCTTAGTAGGGATTGCCGCTGATTGGGACCCCCTGTGGGGGCCAGACACTCTGGGGTGCTTTCCATACATTTTCTGCAGTCAGCTGTCAAGTCAGCCGCTACTTGCCTCCCCTGGCTCATGGGGCCACAGGTGTGGGGGACCTGCCTGGAGACATGCCGCTCTCGCTGAGGAAGCACCAGATCTTACCAGGGAGGGCCACGAGGGTTGGAGGGAGGAGGCGCTCCCTTCTTGCCAAGAGCTGAGAACCAACAGAAGGCCTTTTGCCCCCTCTTGGCAACTGGACCTCACCCTCAAACCCTCTTCTTCCGTTCTTTTTATTTTTCTTTTTTTGGGGGTTGGCTTTGAATTATCTTATTTTGTTTACATTGCACCCAAGTTTCATGGTACAAAAGACTTGCAGGTGCAAATATGTCCCGCCTTCATTAGTTTCCCCTCCCTTTTTAATTTATGTGATTTCAATTTTCCTTCCCTGTACTGTTAATTAGGGGACCCTCTAATCAGCGCCATTATCACAGTGGTATTCATGTTTAGGAAAGCCGCTAAACAAATGCTTGCAAAATTGCTAAATGGCTAATTAATGTCTGTTAATTAAGAAAATTGCTCATGGTAACAAACCATGCCGTTGCTGGCAGCCGCTAGAAAGACACACACTTGTTGAAATTAGTAGCGTGGCAGGTAGGGGAACATCTGCTCCGCAGAGCTCTCCGGAAGTGAGCAGCCCCTCGCTTGGCCAAGAAACTCCAGCCTGTCCTCAGTGGCGCCCCCAGCTTCCTGGACGGCCCCCGCCGTCTTTCCCTGCACACCTCTTCTCCATGTCTCTAGGCCCACAGCCTGTTACCAGCCCCTTCGCCCCGCCCCGCCTCCCCGCAGGTGGGGAGGCTGGGCAGCCTGGCTCTGAGAGAGAGGGCTGACGAAGAAAATCCTACCTCTGTCTCAAAGATTCTCTCCCTCTCCTCTTTAATGTAATTTCCCCCATCCCCCATGCAGGTTTTGGATTTTTCTCAAAAGCGACTTCCAAGAGTAATAGCATGATCGAGGGTTGAGAAGAGTGAATTAGGGCATGCTCCTTGTCACCAGCCCCAAAGTCCAGCTCCGAACGTCCCAAGTAGGCAGGAAGGAGCTTCCAAGATGGGCCTTTTGTGCTTTTTGATTGACCTGCAGTAGGAAATACACTTGACACTGAACCAGTATACACACATGCACGTATGTATAAATATGAAGATATGTTAGTGAAAAAGATTTGCCTTCACACACACAGAGCTGTTGGATACTTTGTTTTTTTATTCCGTTCCAGGTTTTTAGGAAACAATGGTTGCAACCCACTAAATTGATTTCACCATCCACTAATGGTTTGCAACCCACAGTTTGACCAACCCTGTGGTTTAAGTGAATTCACCTGCCCATCTCTTCTGGGGGCAGTCAAGGTCAGCATAGCCCAGGGCTTCAGGGGTCAGCTCGGAACCATGGGTGGTGGCTCACCGCTGGCTGGAGTGGAAGGCCCAGCCCTTCCACCCAGCAGTAAGGGGCCTCCAGCCCCGTCCCCCTGCCCCTCTGCACATGCCTGCTTGAGCTCTGGGCTGCAGGAGTCCGGGTGAGCGTTGGGTCCATCAGGCGTCCCATCCTGGCTCTGCCATCTACCAGTTGTGTGGCTGTGGCCAAGTTCCCTTATCCCTTGAGACCCAGTTTTCCTCGTTGGTAAAAAGAATGAGAAACCCCACTTGATGAGGGCCTTTTCAAGTGAAGGTGAATTAACGGAGTTCACTGAGTGGGTGCTCAGTCACCGTCCATCCTTTTGTTCCCTTGTTCGTTCAATCTCTGGCCCAACCTGACTCCTCCTGTCTCTTCTCGTGCACCCATCAGGCCTCCCTCCCCTCAGTAGACTGGCCCAGGAGCCCGCATCCTGTCTCTGTCCCCCTCCAGACCGGAAGCTCCCCCAAACCAGGGCCTTGCCGGGCTCTTCCCATGCCCAGAAGCGGCCCTTGCACGCTTCGCAGAGCAGGTGCACTTGCCCGTCACAACCAGCGTATTTAACATGGCAAACTCCGCTCCAGCCATAGACGGTGCCCGGGCCCCTGCTCCTGCGTGCTTCCACGGAGGAGCTGGGTATTATTTTCCATCCCTGTAAACTGCCCCGTGAGTGTGCTCATCGGCTTCTCTCCCTCCCGCTCTCCGCGCCCACCGTTGAGCCTGCGATCCAAGCAGCTGTGCGCACCTCCCCGCCAACCAGAGCCCGCCGCCCGCACGCCCGCCGCCTGCCCTTCGTTTTGGTTTAATTTTTGTTCTTTTAAGCTTCTGCGCTTCTCCATGTGCTGTGATCTATAACCTGCCTCTACTGTCTGGCCTCACAGGGTCCTCCGGGGTCACAGCCCTCGCCGCACGCACAGCCTCCACCTCACAATCCCAGCAGCATGATGGGACCCCACAGTCAGGTAAAAGCACTGTGGCTCGCCCGCCCGCCGGGGGGCGCGGGGCACGAGGAGGACAGAGCCAGCAGAGGAAAAACAAAAATCAAAATGTGCTCTAGCCATTGCTTTTGAGTCTTTATGGACAAATGATATTTAAAAAAAAAAACAAAAACAAAAATACACCCCCCCCCCCAAGATAGTCTTCATTCCTTGGACATCACACCCAGCTTGGATATGAAACCAAAAGAAAAGCAAAGATATTTCTGTGACCTTGTCAGCGGCCTTTGCGTTTTTGTTTTTTCCTCTCTCACTTTTGGTTTGGTTTTTGAGTTCGGTTAACCATTTGTTCGTAAGCGAAGCTGCATCCCTAGCCTTTTTCTGTGCGCACTCTCGCTGCTGAGATAAGCTTTCCTGCCCCTCGTCTTAGCCCCTTTCCGTTCTCATTGTGCTCCCCCCACCAAATCCTCGCTCCCCTTCCCCACCCCCTTTGTCGGTGGTTTCTGTGTGTGTGTGCGCGTGTGCGCGTGTGCGCGCGTGTGTGTGTGTCCAGCTTTGTCTGCACACCCTGAACATTTTGTGTAGGAGTCCCTTTCTGATTCTTGATTTGCCCTTCCCGAGAGCAGAGTCTTCTTCCTTTGCCCCGCACCGCTGTAACTGCTCTTCCGCGCCCCGTGCCCAGGCCTGGCCACACTCTCCTGCCATCCAGACTAGATGTCCGTGGGCACACGCGGAGTCAGGAGCCGCCTGTGCCAGGCGCATCTGTCGTTCCCTCTGCCCAGAAGAAGTTGTGCCCAGAGGGAAGAGGCTACCGGGAGAAAAAGAGAGTTGAAAAGATAACTAGTTGTAACGAAACTGGACTTGGTGGCGTGGAGCGCATTCGTGTTTGTCCCTGTGCAGTAGCGCAGGCTGTCATTGAACTAATTCCCTATAATTGCAGCCTTTTATGTCACCGCGCTACGCAGGCGGCCCCAGGCCCCCGATCAGAATGGGAAACCAGGTACTGTACCTTTTCATGTTCTCTCTCCCCTCACCCAGCCACCCTTGCCCCCCTCTTTGACTCAAATGAGAATTTGGGGAAAGGATTTGGAGGTGAAGGGACAGGTTTGAATGTGGGAGGTAGTTTACAGGCGGGTCCCCAGGGAGGGCCCTTTGTCCGCTCTGTGTCCCCGGTATAGCCCCTTTGCCAGCATTGCATCTGCCTCTCCTGGTGGGCTTTGGGCAGCCGGTTCGAGCTCAGAGGGCAGCAGCAGAAACAGCCAGGCTGGGAATGCAGGGTTGCGGCTATTCTAGAGAAGGTGGTAATGCCCCTGCCCCCTCCCTTCCAGCCCCTTCTTGGAAAAGGGTCTTCCTCCTTAATGAAGTTAATTGACAACGTGCATTTTTTCCTGGAAGCTTTTGAGAATTGCCAAGGCTGGTAAATATAATCCTGCTATTAAGGGGAGAAATGGCCCGTAGGAATGCTTAGATCAGGAGCCTGGATGCAGCGGAGCAGGACATTTGTGAGTTTTTAAGCAATGTCTGCCTGTTTTCCCAGACCCAACTCAAAACAAGAAAGGATTTGTTCGTGTAATTAGAAAAGTGGTCTGCTGATGGGGAGGGCTTCTCAGCCTGGGTTGTGTGCCTTATGCTGGCCCATTAGGGTTGGCAATTCTTAGGTGGTCTGGAGAAATCGGCCCCCGTGTCACCCTCCCTAGTTCAGCCCATCCAGGAGAAGTCAAGATAAAATATCTTTTGAGGATCGACGAATTTAAAATTTAAAAAGAAACATTAGGGAGATTTCTTTTCATGCCAAAATATTTTTTATGTATGATTCTTAGAGTGACCTTACAAAAACCCTTCAAAAGATGTGACCGCATCACGAGTGCGTCCAGCCCCTACTGCCTTTGGAACTTGGGAGTTCAGTTACCAACTAGAGGGGCCTTATTGTTTCTGTTCTCAGGGCTCTGCAAGGAAGGCCTCCAAGTGCAGAGCTGCAGGGCCTAGGAGAGACGCTCATAGTCAGGGGTCTCGAAATTTTAGTTTAAATTGCCTATCAGGTTTCCAGTTATTTTTTTGTCCCTCCAAAAGTCTTCTTTTCTCTTTCTCTGACATGAAGGAGAGATTTAGACAAGAATTAGAGACCCATCTTTTTGAACAAGGAGGGACCCTTGGGTATGTCACAGACGAGGAAACAGAAGGTCAGAATGAAGGAGTGACTTCCCAGAGTCCTGCAGTAAGCCGGATCAAGTTGGTCTACAGCTCCCGGCCCAGTGCTGTTTCCTCTGCCCCTCACCCAATTCAGTGAGCTTTCAGAGTTGTAACCGTGCTGCCCCAGTCAGCACAGGGGCCTCTTCTGCCATCACATGCATGGGCCCCAGCAGCGCCTTCCCCCACAGCACACCCCGGGGCTCTCCTTGGCCCGAATGGGCCTCTGCTCCATGGCGAGGCACCCTTACCATCATTGTGGCTTTCCTCTAGTAATTAAGGGACACGAGAGGAAACCTGTATGTTCCTATTTATCAATTAAGCATGAGTCAAGTGCCCAAGACAGCAAATGGACAATGAATCCGACATCTGCATCTCATGTTACAAATTTGTAACCTTCCCACCAACCCCCCCCCCCATTGGAAATCTATACCAATTTCCGGTTTCCTGTGGACTCAAGAAATGTTTGTCCTCCAGGGAGGGACGTGCCCCTCTCAGGGGTGTTGCACCTGGGGGGTTCGCGGAGAGTGCCTCAGTTGGGGCTGCGGGTTGAGCAGAAGCCTCTGCCACCCCAGTGAGCTGAGCTCCCCCTCCTTGGCAGGGGGAGGGGCAGAGGCAGCAGGCCTTGCTTGGGTTCATGGGACCTCCTGTGTTAGGGCAGTGAGAAGGGCATTTGGCGGGGGAGGGGAACAAGAAGCTAAGGACTGTCGACCTGTCCCCTGAGCCTTACCAGGCCATCCTCCCACCTGCCTCCCCGGTGACAGGTTTGGGGCTGTATATAGAGAAAGCGTGGCTGTTTTTCAAGCGAGAGTAGGTGGGTGGGTGGTGAACAGTGGGCTTCAGCAGGGCTGAGAGGAAGACTGGGACCGGGTTTGTCAGGCAGCCCTCCCGTACACATCCCAGAGGACCCCCCGCCGGCCCGGTGGCTGACGGGGGCAGGCGGCCGAGTGACCGTGCAGACACTGCTGGGATTTGGCTGTTCCCTGGGCAGACGCTTCCTGCGCCTGCCCCACGGTGCTGTAGGAGAGGCGCTGGCCTACTTCCAGGAGCCCGTGGGACGGCCCCAGAGCATCACTTTCCCTAGCAGCCTCCGAGAGTGCACACAGCATGTGCTTACAGTGCCATATACGAGCCGTTCTTGGGCTTCTTTCTTAGGTTTGAAGGCTTCGGCCTTCTCTGTGTGAGACCCGTTATCTCGGTCACGGCCCGTCTGCCTTCTCTTGTAGAGGGGGCCAAGATCGTCCTGTCCCCAGCTCAGGGTCACCCCAGTGATGCCCAGATTCCCTCTGAGCTTCCAGGCAGCCCTGCTCTGCTCCTGGGTCCTGACACAGCAGGGTGAGGGGAGCCCAAGGAGGAGCTTCCTTCGAGAACTGTCGCTGTCCTCACTGGGCTACCTGGCGAGGGAGTGATTGCCCTACCCCCACGGCTGCTCCATCAGGGTTATAGGTGAGGGCATTCTATGACATGGACGGTCCCCTGTCCACCTCGACATCCTGGGATCTCCCAAACCAGACAGCCTCAGAGGAAGGCCTGCTTTTGTCCTCCAGGGTCCTGTAACTGGGGTCTAGAAATATCCCACACCCCCAAGTGGGCAGACAGAAACCAGTCAAATGATTCGGAGCTGGGGAGCCTGGGGAGAGGAAGCAGGGCTGGGAGAAAGCGAGAGGTCAGAAGAGCTAAGACCACGGGCTAGAGAGACAGACTGTGAGCACCCCCAGGGCCTGGAAACAGCAGGTCCTCCAAGGTTTCTGTGGCCTACCACAAGTACCGCCACGCACTGGACACACACACAGCCCACTCTGAAGCTCGGGACAGCAGTGAGAACTAGTCTCTGCTTACCACCACCTCGTTCCACAGCTGGTTTGGAGCTTCCCCCTGGGCCATCCCCCCCAGCTGCGGTGAGGGCTGGGGCTGGAGGGGGTGGCTGTCCCTGTCCCAGGGGCCCGGCCTCTGAGAAGCATTGGCGTCTGCAGTTGGGAAAAGGTGGTCCCTTTCATAGACACTTTCCCTCTCAAAGGCAGGGGCCTGTTTTAGTCCGGAGGCACAGGGTTCTAAAAGCACACTTTTCCTTCCAGCTCTTCTGCCTTTTTTTTTTTTTTCTCCCCGATTGCTACTGAAATCATTTTCAGCCCCAAGTAAATCACTTTTAGTAGGTTTTCACGGCAAGTGTGCCAAGCGTTCACTCGGGAAACCTGTGGCAACCCTGTCCTCACCTTCTTAATAGTAATCACACCAGTGTCTGCCCCTTGCCCCAGGCTTTGGGGAGCAGGTTCTCACTCAGCCTTCTGCTTCCCCCTCTCTGGAAGGCCTCTTCTTCACCACTGGGGCCAGAAGGGGGCATTTCATGTGGAGGACAAAGATAGGGAGTTGGGGGCCTTGAGTGCTCATCCTGGCTCTGCCACTAGGTGACTGGGGGGCCATTGGGCCTCTGGGCCTCAGTTTCCCCATCCAAACCTCGAAGGCCACCTCCTCCCCTGCGCCCCTGTAAAAAGACCCCCGTGTAGTGATAGGATTTTTGGCTGGCGGGGGGGGGAGTCTCCCGGTCCCCACCCTTTAGGGGAGGGGATAGGATGAGTTACATCTCCATGGGGTGAAGGAAAGACAGGGTGTGGCTTAAACCGCGCTGGCCAGGGTCCGGGAGGTGAGCGCGGGGGGCAGGCTGCTGTGGAGGGGTGTATGGCGGGCGGCGGGCCTGGGGCACAGCCCCGTGGAGACAGTAGGGTGTGTGATGCTTCCTGTCCCGCCCATGCTGCACCTCCTGCTGACACCAGCTCCCTCTGTCTGCCGCTCCTGGGGATGTCGCCCCCAGCCCCAGCCGGCAGGTCAGGGAGGCCATGCGTGGCCCCAGAAGGGTGGTGGCGGCCGGGGCAGGCGGGCGCGTCTCCCTCCATCCCCCAGCCACTCAGTGCAGCTTTCACGTCTCTTTCAGCCTCCGGGAGGAGTTCCTGGGACCCAGCCACTGCTGCCCAATTCCATGGATCCCACCCGGCAACAAGGTAGAGGGCTGGGCGGGGCTGCCTGCGGCATGGGGAGTCTGTGCTGTCTGCCCCCCGCCGCCTCACAGCTCCCCTACTCTCTCGTGCAGGGCACCCCAACATGGGAGGATCAATGCAGAGAATGAACCCTCCCCGAGGCATGGGGCCCATGGGGCCCGGCCCACAGGTAACCCCCTGTCTGTCTGTCCAGCTCCCTGGCCATCTGTGTGCACCCGCCTACTCTCCTCCTTCCACAGTCTGTCCGTCGTTCACGTCACCCAGCTCACAGGGGTGAGGGGAGAGGACACGGCCGAGTCCCCAGCTGCCCGCTCTGCCTATGGCTGGGCTGGCCCCCCACACAGCCAGGAGCAGCCCCTCTCGGTAGGCGGCAGGCCAGGTTGAGGGGCCCTCTGGGAAGCTGAGGGAGCAGGGCAGTCAGGTGTTGGCAGATCCTCCGCGGGAGGGATTTGAGGAATTTGGAAGATGGAGGGTCTGGTGCCTGAGCAGTGGTGTGGGTTCTCCAGGAATCCCAAAGCCTCCTACCCCCGGTAGGTGAATTCGAACTGGCTCAGGGTCCTAGTTTGTTGCGACCAAAGGCGGGACGAATGAGAGGCAGTCCTAGCTCCGCCTACAACTGACTCACCGTTAGTCTGTCCTTGGGTGAGTCATTTGACCTCAGGGGGCCCTAGCAGGCCTCGGTCCCCCTGTTTTCATGTGAGGGGAGGAGGAATGTGTCTGTACCCCTGGTTCTCAGCGATGCCACCCCAGTGAGAGGAGACCAGGCTGGCCAGGGCCTCTGAGACCCCCTTCCACCCGTTTCAGGTCCCAGGCTCCAAGCTAAGATTTCTTCTGACCAGAGAGGTTCCGTTGTCACAAAGGTCCCCTCAGAAATCTCTGGGAGACATGACGTCAGGGGCCCTGTCTAGCTCTGCAGTTACAGCACACCCGTCACTCCTTGTGCCCCGGCTGCAGGCCCCACAGGGACAGGCTCCCACGGGACCATCAGGCAGGGGTCTGACAGGCCTTTCCTGTTCTCGAACCTTCTCACGGTTGCTTCCCCCTCTCCTGAGTGTTTGAATGTGGCTCTGTTTCCTGTAGTACTGTGGCAGAGAGTTTGCTGATCTGACTATCTAAAAGAAGCTGGAAGTCTAAATAAGGAGAAGGGAGTTTCATTTAGCGAGATCGGGAGGCTTTTGCTGTAGGGTGTTCCTTCCCTTTTCTGCCCTGCCTGGAAGTCTGCTTGTAGTCGGGGTCTGTCCCCCCCATTCAGGGTGCAGATGTTTGCATTCTCTGGGCCCCCCTCCCCAGGTTTCCGGTTCCCTGGGGGAGGAGGAGTGAGTGCTCTTGCTCCCAAGCTCACAGACACGTGCCCGCTCTGGTAGGGAGAGGTGTCTGCCCACACCCAGAGTCCTCCGCGCCGTCTGGAGTTGTATTTCCAGCACACCCAGCCCACTGCTTCTCCTCGGTGGTGGCTGCAACATCTGTGGTGCTGAAAGATTTTAGGGAGGTCCTTGTCTTCTCTTGGCCCCCTAATCCTATAATGAAGCAAGCCCACACCAGTTGCAGCTCTGGTTTTCTTGTTTGTTTCTTTGTTTTCTTTCCTCAAATCCCCCAAAGCTTGTGTTTTCACCAGTTCCTTTTAAGCCACCAGAGTGGCCTCTTCCTGCCATGTGGCTGTCTTGAGCTGACCTCTGCCGGGTGGCTCTGTGCTGAGGAACTTGTGGGAGGGGCCCCAGGGTCTGAAGCAGAGCATTGCCTCTCCTGGGTTAGGAACCTGTGGGTCCCTCAACCCCACTTCAGAGATGCTCTTGCGGTGGATGAGCAGTGACCCTGGACTTCCACAACATCCTGGGGGACCTGGGGACACAAGAGGGTCTAGTGGGAAGGCTCCCCACCTACCCCTCTGGGTTCTTGGAGGCTTAGCAGCTACATCTGTAAAATGGGCGAGAGACCAGCACCTGCCGTATAGGAGTGCTCAAAGGGGGAGGCTCAAGTTCTGGGTGTGACGCTTGGCATGGGGTACTCCCAGTAAGCAATGTGTGTCTTCCAACTTGGGGGCTGAAAATCGGTGTTCAGGACTCTCATTGCCTGGGTTTGATGATTGCTTTGAGTTGTGTGTGTTTTTGTTTCTGGTTTTTGTTTTTTTTTTTTTCTTCTGGCCAAGGCCATTAGCCTTCTTTTTGTTTGTTAAGCCTATAGTAATCCTGAGGTTCTGGAAGCTGGGAATGGATGTCAGCAGACAGACCCAGAGCAGAGTATTCTGTTAAGTTTAGGACTTCCTCCTGACTTAGTAGAGTCCCTGACCAGCAGTCTGGCACACTCTTGTGGCATGCTTTAAAGAGGGGAGGCTCCTAAAGCCTGAAGTCTTACCAAACAAGGCCTCTTGGGTCCAGTGTGGCTCTCCTGACCTCGCCAGGTGGTGTGCAAGGGTATAGCTCTCATGTAGACCCTGAGAGGGGTGACCCAGAGGGGAGTGAGAAACTAGCTCAGGGATGAAGCCAGTTGATGCACCCCACCTCCACCAACGTCAGGGGCTCTGGAAACGTCTCCCTTGTTCTTTATTTGACTTCACTGTATCAATAGGGAGACCCTAAAGTGCTTTGCCCATGTCTCCTGTACCTGCCTGGGTAGAGTGCAGTCTTAAATTCCAGGGCCAAACCTCCCTTAGAGCAACCCAGAATGTCTGCCCCAGCCCTTCACTGGGGACAGAAGGGCCTGGCCTGGTGTGGGACAGGTTTTGGGGTCAGCCAGGGAGCAGGTACTGCAGAGCCTAGAAGTTTTGGACCCGAAGGCTGAGGGCAGGACCACCCCATCTCCTGCCCCCAGGCCTTTCTGGCTGTCCCCTGAGGGTGCGCTCTTGGTCATTCGCAATGGACAGGAGAGGGATGAACTCAGAACTTAGTGCTGGAAAACAGGGTTCCAGCCGCAGCTCAGCCCAGTTGGGCCTCTAGTCCCTCATCTGCAAAATGGGCAGCCGGGTGATCACCTCACAGGGTCCACTGTAGGTCTGGTAGAAACAGCATGAGGTGCCTGCAGGGTGTTCCACGGACCCCACTCCCTCCCTAGAACATGGGCTCAGGGGGGCGGCGGGGTGGGGGGAGTCCTGTCTGCCACAGCCTGGGCTCTTAGAAAAGGAGGCCAGCCTCCTCGGGCAGCCTTTATAAGCACCGCTGTATACACAGCGCCGTGCTGAGACCAGTCACAAAGGTGGGAAACCATCAGCCTGATACTCCAACTGGGGAGTAAGATTTTTAATAGCCAGTGACCACTCCAGAACTTTCTGAAGAAGAGGTACACTGTAGTCTTGGGGCTACTTTATAGATTTCAAAGCCAGATGGAGTGACATTTGCACTTTCTGAGCCTGTGCTGCGATTTAGCCTAAATGTCACAGAGGACCCAGCAGGCCAGGCATCGCCCTGCCCTTTTCCCTGAGTGTCTCAGACAGATTTTACTCTGGTTTGGTGAAACGGCCAGAGCCAAAAAGGAGGTAATACATCCACTTAATTATGGTCTTTCTTTAAAGAATTATGTCAGTATCCGATGGGAATGTTTTGGCTAAGTTTTTCAGAAGTGACTCCCGTTGGAATGAGCCTAGAACTGCAAGGGCTTCTGGCCAGGCTCCCGTGGACAGAACGCAGGGCCCCCTCAGGGATGCTGTGGCTCATAGACCCCCTGGGTGCCAATGACTAGCGTTTCTGGTGTTCAGGCTGGGGTTGGAATCCACACAGGCTAGCATCAGATCACCATCCTAGCTCGTGTGTGTTTGAGAAAGTTCGCGTGAAGGATAACCCCTGATCTCTATGGACAGTCTTGTGCGACCTGGAAGAAACTGCATCTTCCTGCTGGTCCAGGACAGCCCAGCTCTTTCTTCGTTCTGAGGCTTCTGAGCAATGGCCCCAGCAAGAGACGGAAGGATCATAAACCCGGCCAGAGTGGCTGGGGGCTGGGTGGGGAGAAAGTGGGGCCACTCAAAGCACCTTCCTGGTGGGGGCCCATAGAGGCCCCCAGGCCCCACATGATGAGAGGGGGATGGAGGACAGGACCCTGCTGCCCAGGAAACTGCCTGGACGGTGTATCCTAAAGGCTGGAATGTTCTTTCCCTGCTTTAAGGTGAAGATAGTGCTGGGTGGGCCGTGGGCAGCACCCAGAAAGACTGGGAGCTCGGGGAGTCGGAGCAGGCCCCAGCCATTCATTGTTCCTGAAGGCGGACCAGAGCCCTCTGCCCAGGGTCCGGGGTGTGAGGGGACGAGGGTGAGGGAAGACAGGGACCACCGTCGTGGATGTGGCCAGCCCCACAGTGCGCCGAGGGTCCTTCCCATGCGTCTAGCTGCCCCTGTCCATGCAGAGCTGTGCTGATGGCACAGGAAGGGGGCATCGGGCTGCTGGTCACCTCGCAGTCCGGTGCTGTGGGCGGGCGGACATGGAGGGAAGAGAGCTGTTTCTGAGGAGTCTATGAAACCATGCCTCCAAGCCCTCTATGAGAAGGCTGCTGTTTCTGCTTTGAGAACTTCCCCCCAAAGTTGCCCTTCGGCCCTACTTTCACCCGTGACTCAGCACGTGCCCTTGGGCAAATCTGTGGCCCCTCCAATCGGGGAGGCATACGTGGCCCTGCAGGGCCTGTGCCTCTGGCAGGGAGGACGTGGTGGGCGGCCTCCCTCTCGGGAAGCGGCTGTGCTGGCTATTTGGGAGGCTCTGGAAGGTGAGATCAAGGTAGGAACTGCCACCCCAGAACCTCCCCAGCGGGGGTGGCGCACTGCATGAGCAGGCCTATTCCTGGAGTGAGCACCTGGCTTGTTCTCTCCTGTCACCCCGTCTGTGCTGCCGTGTCCCGGGCTCCACCGGGCTCTGAAGGCGGGCCTGCAGTGGGCGGGAGAGGGAGCAGGGCCACTGCAGGGGCTCTGTCTACACCGTGGCCCCTGCAGGCTCCCTGTCCTGTGGCGGCGGAAGTGAGGCTGAGCTTCGTGGAGGGATCGCGGAGCTGCACGTGGGGCTTCAGAAGGGCCCTTTAAGACCCAAGGTTCTGTGATGCTTAAGGCAGCATTAAGGGCTTTGGTGTTCGTTCTGCTGCTAACATCCCAGATCAGAACACACCTCCAAGAGCTGACAGAGCACTTGAAAGCTGTCGTTGCGTTTGAGTCTCCCGGGGCTGTAGGGCTGGGGGCTCTCTGTCCCCATGGCGGCTGCGCCAGGGGCTTTCACTCTGCTTCTGCCACTCAGCGTTTTCATCTTTCAGGCAGGGACCGCGATGGGGCCATTGTCACAGCCGTGTGCCCAAGCCGGGGCTAGCTGTCCTGTGCTCCGACCTCCCGTCTGCGGCTCTGCCTGCCGGCCCGAGCCGCTGTGATCAGAGAGCACCTGGCTCCTGCACGTCCCGGGGCTGACGCGGGACCCCTGTGGGGCCACCCCACTCTGCCTCCGCGACTCCAAGCCTTGCTCTCTGCCAGTCGGCCCGGTGCCATTCCTGTTGCTGTCTACACGCTGTCTGTGTGTCCTTGTAGACTCCAAGCCGCTGTCAGGGTGACCAGGCAGAGGACGTGGTCCCGCGGCTTTCAGGTTCAGGACCCGGGCCTTGGCTGAAGAACCCACCCCCAGCATGATGTTGGCTCTGAGCTGGTCAGCTCGGGGCCTTTCACCAGATGGGTGGTGGGGAGAGTGCAGAGCCAGAGGCTTGTAGACCCGGGTTTAAACCCCAGCTGAGTCACTGGCTTACCACCTCCGGGCAGATCTTTCTCCCCTCAGATCCTCAGTCTTCTCTTCTCTAAAATGGGAGTGATACTAGCTTCGTGGCATTGTTCTAAGGCCGTGTTAGGTGCTTCCTCTGCCGTCAAATTCCCACCACCCTTACTTAGGTCAGATTCTACAAAGGCAGAGCTTAAGCTACAACCAGGCTCATTTTACTCTCTGTTCATTTACTTAATCACTCCTTCATTGATTCAGCACCCAGTCTGTGATGGCTGCTGTGTGGGGTGACGCATGCATGCAGATCTTTCAGATACAGTCCCCACCTTCACCAGGTCCTCAGAGCCCAGTGGGAGAGACGTGTGGCCACGGCCATAGCCCAGCGTGGCAGGGGTCAGGGCATTACAAGGCATGATGAGGGTGAGCAATTAACCCCAAGAGGTACGCAGGGAAGGCTTCCCAGAGGAGGTGCTCTTCAAGCTGGGTTTGGAAGATGTGTAGGAGCCCAAGTGGAGAGGGGAAGCAAAGCATTTCTTCTGCGAAGAAAATAGCATTGGAAGTGGGGAGTCAGGGGTAGCAGTGACAAGAGGTTCCGGTCCTGGCACTCTTGTGACCCCCCCCCCGCACCCCAAGAGTTTTCTTCCTGCTTCTCCAGCACCGTGTATGTCGAGGGCCCCACAGGCTGACCCCTGAATCAGGCAACCTAATCCAGGGGTTGGGGGACAACCCAGGTGTGGGGCAAGCGGGGGGCAGTGTCTGTACATGCTGGACCGTGGGGACAGCCCAGCGGCCAGGCCCCTCAGGGTTCCTTCACCTCCCACATTCAGACCCAGCCCCGGAATTTCTGAGGTGGGCAGTGTTCACCAGTCGGCTCCGTTACAAGTCCATTCCCTTGCCCCGCCCAAGACCCGAGATGTGAGGGCTTGCCGAACATTCCCATGCTTTTGAGAGAACCATCCCGAAGCCTCCCTCTGTGCTGGCTTGTCATTGTGGTCCCGTCACGTGGTTCCCGCCCCCTCACCTTTTTTAACGAGTATGTTATTTTTTTTCCTCATCGGATCCTTTCCACAGACTAACCCTCTTGCTTATATTCTGTTTGTCTTCCCTCCCTCTGCCTCTCTCCGGTTCCCCTTCTCCTTCTCATAGACTGACCCTTGGTTATCGTTGCAGAATTATGGCAGCGGCATGAGACCACCACCCAACTCCCTCGGCCCCGCCATGCCCGGGATTAACATGTAAGGCACAGCTGACCTCGCTGTTGGCTCAGAGCCTGCGGCTCACCCCCCCTCTGCCAGCCCCCCGAGACCCTGGCGGACAGAGGCGTCCCGGGCACCTCTCCGGCCCTCTGCCCTCCCAGCAGGGGCGTGGGGCGGGTGTGGCAGCCGCCCTGTGACGCGCCGCACGGTGCACCTCTGGGCCTGCCGCGTGCATCGGCCCAGCCGCTCTTCCGAACAGCCCCGGGAGGTGGGTCTCACCATTCCCCACTTACAGATGGGGGAACTGAGGCCCAGAGAGGTGAAGTAACTTGCTTGTGCTCACACGGCTCTAACGATAGGGTTGAGATTTGAACCCCTGTACAGCTGACCACCAGCTGCTCTAGTGCTCTCATCCCTAATGCCCCTTGCGGGCGTAGATCCCCGTGAGAACCTGTGCGTTCCCTTCCTGGGAAAATGCACACACACAGGAAATCTTACGTACGTTACACATTTACGGTATGATTTATAGGAGCTTGTAGATTTCCGCCCATGGAGCTGCCCGTTGCTCCCCGAGAGCCAGATGGTGTGAGAGGCCCTAGGCCTGTGTGAGGGACTTCCTGTTAGTGACGTCAGCCCTCTCGTGCTGGCACCCCCCGTGGGGTTGGTAAGACCTTGTTCACGGTCGTCCTCTCTCTCTCTCTCTCCCTCTCAGGGGTCCGGGAGCTGGCAGACCCTGGCCAAATCCTAACAGTGCTAACTCAGTGAGTACCCAGGTTGGATGGGATGGTGTGGGGAGGGGTTTCTGAGATACAGGGTAGTCCCTGTCCCCAGGTTGGAGGTGTCATCAGAAGCAGGGATGCAGCAAGACTCCTGCCCCTCCCCGCACCCCCCAGTGTCTGCAGGGAGGAGCCCTGCTGTAAGTGGAGGCGTGGGAGTACCGTGCTGGGGCCTTCGGGGTTCAGGCCTAGCCCTGCAGAAACCCTGACGGGTGAGCTGAGGGCTCGCTTAAGAGAGCACTGTGCACCTAGCAGCAACCTCTGGCGATCCTCTCTTCCCTGGCAGGGCTGGCTTCCCGCACTCAGAGGACGGAGCTGGGAAAGGGCTCCACTCAGAAGGCCAGAGGGCTGGGGAGAAGCTCCCGCTTTCCCGTCCTCTTGAGCTGGAGGCTCTCCCATGTCCACGCCCCTCCCAAGCTCCCTGCCAAGGCTCTCAGGATCAGTTCAGTGTGGGAACTGCGCTTTGTTCACACCCCCAGCCCTCCCAGGGACACGAACCAGGGAGCCCACCGCCTTTCCCAGCCAGAGGGGGAGTGTCCCCAAGTGGATTGGGGAGCCCAAGGGCACTCTGAGTATCAGAGGAAGTGACTCTGACGCGTGGCTCCCCCACCTCTTGTTTTTAGATTCCATACTCCTCCTCATCACCTGGTACCTACGTGGTAAGTGGGTGTGGGCGTGGGGCATTGCGTGTCCCGCCCCATGTGACTGAATGCGCAAGAGAACTTTCTCCAGGGTCCCTCTTTCCCCTTCAGAACACGTTCTGAGCACACGTTCCAAACTGTGCTAGAACTGCTGTCACTGTACAGGTATCTCCACCTTCTGGTGGCCCAGAAGTCCCCCAACAAGACCTACAGTTAGGTCCCCATCTCGGGGGCTGACCAGTGGGCCCAGCTGGTTTCCATCACAGGCCTCTGGTTCCACCCAGTGCCATGGCTGCCTCTGGGTTTGAAGAAAGGATGGGGGCGGGTGTCGGGGGCGGGGGGGAGTCCAAGTCCAGCTCCCCCAAGGCTTGAACACTCAGACTCTGCTTGAGCTTTAGCGAGAGCTGAATACTGGGCTGGGCCCTGCCTGAGCCCTCACCTTTGGTGTCTCTGGAGCTCGGTGGCTTCTCCCCACCTGTATTGTTGTCATGGGTTTTTGATGGCCATTTTTATCTCATTTCCAGGGACCTCCTGGTGGTGGTGGCCCCCCAGGAACACCCATCATGCCTAGTCCTGCAGGTAAGAAGGCTTGGGGAGAGGGTGCCATTGAGGGAGCAAGGGGTCCCGGAGGGCCCTAAGTGCAGGGCCAAAGCTTACCAACTACTCCTCCTGAGCAGCGTTGCCTCCACCAGTATGTTAGTGTCAGGGAGTTAGGAGGCAGGAGGCCCCTGGTGCCAGTAACCTGCCCTGTGGCCTCAGCCAGGTCACTCTTCCTCTCTGGTTAAAGGATGGGGCAGAGTGGGGGAGATCCAGGAATGAGGGGTCTCACTGTCCTCGGCTCAAACCTGTTCTGGCTGTGCATTTCTCTAGGTCACTAAAAAGGGGCTTTGGAATGCTGGCATCCTGGGACCAGGACCATATAACATGATGCCTCTTGAGTTCCTAGAACTCTTGGCTTCCGGTCCTCTCTGTAGGAGATCGCTTCTCCCTCTTTCTTAGATCAAAAGAGGGCATGCGTGCACACATGTTGGTGTGCACACACATGCATACACACACAGCATCACGTTTGAGTTTCTCTCCCAGCTGAGAATAACACACTGCCATCTAGAAGGAATTCCACCAGTCTTTACCTACCCAAAGAGTAAGAAGTGAGAGGTAGCTGGATTTCTCCCTGAGAAATAGGGTGCCTGCTCCTGATATAAACATGTTAGCTGGTCTTCTAAGGAGACTTTTCTAGTTAATTGGGGGAGATGGAGGGGTCCCTCTGTCCCCAGACTCCCCGACCCCCAGGAGCAGTAGGGGAGCGGGTGGCTGTGATGTTCTGGCCCCCACTCCCTCTCCCTCTTTCTGCTGCTGCATTTTGATGAGCTGCATGACCTACATTCAGACTGGGTCACATCAAACCACTCCGTATGTTAATGCGTCTTCAGCCCCATCCTTGCCTCCCCTCCTGCCCCATCAGCTTGGCAAGGTGGCCCCTGTGGGTAATTTGTGGCGTTTCTCTTTCCCCGATTTGATTAAAGCCGCTGGGTAGGATTGGGGTGGGGGACGCAGGTGGCTGTCCCAGCACAGTCCCCAGCAGTGTCTGGGGACCAGATTGGGTTTGGGGTGGGGAGATGAGAATTCGGACCTACCACCCCACCCCCCTTTGCCACGTTCACGCTGCTGTCCAGACGTCCTGGAATTCCTCGTTTCAGGGTTGAGTGGTTTTCACAGTTGAATTTTCTGTGATTAAAAACTTGGTGAATCTTCATTAAATACAAATTAGCCAGAAAATGGTGGCACTTAGAGGAGATTTTAGGTGATAAAATACAAAAGAATGAGTTCAAGTGCCACGAGTTTGTTTTAATTAAGAAATGAATTAATCACCCTGACTTGTGGGTTTCCACTGTTCTACAGATTCAACAAATTCCAGTGACAACATCTACACAATGATTAATCCGGTGCCGCCTGGAGGCAGCCGGTCCAACGTAAGTCCGCTTTCTAATAATTTACATATCAGATACCATAACAAATCATAATTAACTTCATCAGCTGAGGGGAAAGCAAGTTTAATTGATTTCAGCCATTTGTTACCAAAGATGAATAAAATAAACCGTCAGAAAAGTGATTAACTCTTGGGGTACTCGGTTCCCATCTCATAGCTGGGAGAGAAGGGGAATAGCGTGGTACCCTCTCCCCTCTGGTCAGAGCGGGGCACCCGGCCTGCTGCGGGGATCCCCGCTGCTCCGAGTGGGATGTCGGTGAGGGAAAGCACTAGGCTGCGGGTGGACCCGGGCCCCACCCTGCCCTGCTGACGGTCTATGCCGCCCTGGGCCAGTCTGTCACTCTCTCGGGTCTGGAGCTGTGGGTTCCTGGAGCCCATCTGGACACCTGCCTGCCCTGTGCCTCCAGCCCCTTTGGGAGCTCCGTGACTCCTGCATCCTGGGGGTTCTTGGCCTCTCCTTGTGTCACTGCCTGGCTGGGAAGCCACCCCCCCCCCGCCCCCCCGCCCCTTCTGGGCTTCTCCAGGTCCCAACCCTCGGTGATGTCACAGCTCAAATTCCACTTCGTCTGATTGCTGCTCACCCGCCACCTCCCGTGTCTCCTGTCCTGTGCCGGATGGCCCTTTGACTCTGCAGCTGTGGCCTGTCTCCATCTCCCAGCTGGGAGCTCCCTGAAGAGAGGGCTGGTCTGACTCACCTCTGCAGACAGCTCTTCTGCACCAGGCGAGGGAGGTGACTCACGCTGGCCTTGCCTCGGGGAGCGTGTCTGGAAAGGAGGCTGCTAAGGGACCAAACGAACAGTCTGGACTGCAGAGCCAGACGGTGGCCGTGGGGCCCCAAAGTTTTTCTGGCCTTTTGGGGGTGCTTCGTTCAGTTTTGTGGGTTTGGGTCCTGATGTGACCCTTGAATCACCACTGGGCTAAACACCGATCGGGGGCTGCCCCATGCTGGACACGGCACGTGTTCAGTCTTCTGGATGCCGCTGGATGCAGGGGGACCTAACCCGAGGATCACATGACTGAGAAGCATGGGACCCGCACTCCTTCACCCTTGCCCCGCCATCCTTGTCCCTGTCCTGGGCAGCCAGCAGTCCTGTCACCCCTGCTTCTCATTAGGGTGACCAAGCATCAGGTTTTAGCACTAAAAGCTCTGTGTCCCAGGACAGCGAGCGTCCAGGGTTTTGGCAGTGGATGCAGAAGGTTGGGTGGGAGGGAGCAGGGCTCTTGGAGCAGCCCCAAAGCCAGGGACTGAGCTCACTGGGCTCCGCGTCAGCTGGAAATGGCAGAGAGGACCCTTCTGCCGCGGCCGCCCCTCCCCTGACCACGGACGCCAGCGCTCGTGGCCTGCGAGCTCCCAGTGGACCGTCCACACCACGGCCCTCCGGGGGCAGCTCAAGTGCACGGCGGCCCGGACGGGGTCAGCCTTGGCTGCGCCTGCGGACTCACTGTTGTGCTCTGTGTCAGGATCGTGCCAGCCTCGTTTTCCACGTTGTGAGTATGGGCGCCAGTGGGGCCCCGACCTCACCAGACTGGCGGCTGCCAGGTGGGAGGACACACGGCGTTGAGGGAGGGGAATGATGGACACGGAGTCCCTGGGGTGCAGGTCCGGGCCGGACAGCACAGCTTCTCACGCTGTCCGAGAGGCGCCCCGGCTCAGCCAGGGAGGGCGGCCAGCGCATTAGTTGGGGCACTGCCACCGCCACCATGCCCTTCCCGCTGTGGCTCCGTGAACTGAGGAGGCTCCATTCCCGGGTTCAGTGGCTGCACCTGTGTGCCAACAGAAGGGGGCGTTTCGATTTCCAGCTGATTCTGTCAGCTCTTGCCAGCAATCGGGAGCTTCTCACAGTCTGTCAAGTGGTGCCTCGCATCATGGTGACAAAAACACATCCCCCAGCTCTTCGGTACTTTGACGCAAAAGCTGGAGGGAGCTTCATATCGGTGTGTTGACTTCTGTGGCGATTTTATTTTTTTAATTTATTTTTTTTAAGATTTTATTTATTTGACAGAGACACAGCGAGAGAGGGAACACAAGCGGGGAGTGGGAGAGGGAGAAGCAGGCTTCCCGCCGAGCAGGGGCCCCGATGCGGGGCTCGATCCCAGGACCCTGGGATCATGACCTGAGCCGAAGGCAGATACTTAACGACTGAGCCACCCAGGAGCCCATTCTGTGACGATTTTAATGAAACTGCAGAAAACAAATGAAAGATGGCTCTTGTCTAAATACAAGCTCGACTTGACCCCTCTATCTGCATATTTGGCACATTTCATTTGGTGTATGAACTTAGTACCTGCTAACTGTCCCGCACACCTTGTCCCCTGCTCTGCTGCCAAAGGGTATGGCTTGGTCACCTGTGATGCCAGGCTTTCATAATGAAAGGTTTGGATGACCTGTCAGTCTCCTCAAAATGTGCAGATACACTTAACGGGACTTTGGACTTGGTTGAAGTGGAGAGAGGCCCCGCATAGAAAAGGTATTAATGGGTCAGCCTGCCGTGACATTCTTCTCTAATGGGAACCGCACTGAGATGAGAATGTAGAGAGGAATTCCAGGAAGATGGAAATGTTTATGCTGTGGATTTAGAACCGTTCAGTGATCTTTCAGGAGGCCACCAGGAGCCTAGAAGAGGATGAGCAGACCGATTCTGAGTCACTGGGCGGGGGTGGGGTTGGGGGGTTTGCATCAAAACCTCATCGGCCGAAGTGTAGGGACTTGCGTTTTGGAAATGAGATTGCCCGAGAACTCAAAACCTGTCACCAGGAAAGAGCAGCCACGTTAAATAGCACTTTCTCAGCTTCTTGACTGAAACTGTAACGTACGGGGCATCTGGGAGGCTTAGTCGGTTCAGTGTCTGCCTTCGGCTCAGGTCGTGATCCCAGCATCCTGGGATCGAGTCCCTCATCGGGCTCTGTTCAGTGGGGAGTCTGCTTCTCCTTCAGCCCCTCCCCGCTGCTGGTGTGCTGTGTCTCTCTCTGAAATAAATCTTTTTTTAGAAAAACTATAACTTATTTGGAGTCCAGCTTGGATCTCACAAGTTCATCTCACCTCTGTGCTTTAAGCCACTTCCTTGAGAGAGAGGTTTAAGTGAGAACGACATCCACAGTGCTTTGGAACGCTTAGAGGTGATGGACATCTGAGACAGGACAGGCCTGCTGATGGATTAGGGATGCAGAGGTCCCGACGGGCAAGCGCTGGTCTCCCTAAACGAGCCTGTAGATAGAGTATGATGGACCTCTTAGGAGAGTTGGAAGGGAGTTCTTGCAGGTCCAAAAACCCGTGCGAGTCAGTGACATCCCAAGTACTCCACGCACAGACGTGTTTGTAGAGAGGCTATTTCCGTGTCACCGTGTTGGACTGACAGCAGGGCCTGATAAGAGCAAAGTGGCAGGTCACAGTGAACTTTGCATTTGCCTCTGTATTCAGTTTACCAATACCTAAAGAAATTAAAAAGCATGGCCTAGAGGCTGCAGGCAGTCCAGAGAAGTTCTGGGGGGAGAGCAGGCACCTCTGCCCTGTTGCACCCACGAAAGCAAGATGGGTCACCGCAGCCCCTGGGGAAAACTCAGCCCGGGTTCGCACTCCAGCCATGTCTTCTTGACCTGGCCCGGGCCCATCCAGAAATGTGGCCACCTTGCGCCCATCCGGATGCTCGTGATTTTTTTTAAAAGATTATTTATTGGGGCACCTGGGTGGCTCAGTCGGTTAAGTGTCTGCCTTCAGCTTGGGTCATGGCCCCGGGGTCCTGGGATCGAGCCCCGTGTCGTACTCCCTGCTCAACTGTCTGCTTCTTTCCCTCTGACCCTCCCCCCCTGCTTGTGCTCTTGCCTGCACTCTCTCTAAAATGAATATTAATTCAAGAGGAGCCCACTTGTGTGGGAGTGAGAGAGGAGAGGGGAGGTAGAGGGGCAAAGGGAGAGAGAGCGAGGATCTCCAGCAGACTCCCCACTCCATTGAGCTCAGAGCCTGACTTGGGGCTCGATCCCACAACCCTGAGGTCATGACCTGAGCTGAAATCAAGAGTCGGACACTTAACCGACTGAGCCACCCAGGCACCCCAAGAAATGTGATTTTTAAAAATCAAACATAAGTAGTATCTGTTTAATCAGTCCATCGCATTTAGCTTTTTTTTAAAAAAAACTTAATTTGTATATTTTAAGACTATATAGTAATACAGCCTACAAAATTTAAATACCCAATAAAGAGCTCAAATAAATTACTGTATTAGAGGACAGAAACATTATAAAAATGTTATGTTTTTCTCAGACCGTTCATTTAACTAGTCCTCTGTTCACTGCTCCCATTAACTAGCCTTACTCTGGCTTTTTTGAGATAATAGCTTGTGTGTAACAAGGTCACTAACACAGAATAAAGGAGCAGTGCAGGGACAGCAGGTGTGTGAGGTCGGAGCGTGGTTCCCACAGACCCCCAGACTCCGCCGCGCACAGCCAATCTGCCTGGCGGCGCTGAAGCGGCGGAACGCTTGGACGGCAACAGGCGTGCGTCGCCGGCGCCTGGCTGGAAGCAAAGCCTTCTCCCGTGTGACCCTGGATGGAAAGCACAGGCAACAAAAGCAAAAAGCAGGTAAATGGGACTTGATCAAGACTGAAAACTTCTGCGCTTCAAAGGGACACCTTCCCGAAGGTAAAAAACACAGCCCACAGAGTGCAGAGAACATTTGCAAATCACATACCTGATACGGGACTCGAATCCAGAATATGCAAAGAACTCTTAAAACTCAGTCACGAAAAAACAGCCTGGTTTAAAAAATGGGCCGAGGGTCGGGACAGACATTTCTCCAAAGACGCACCGGTAGCCAACAAGCACACAAAAGGACGCCCCGCCTCGTGTCCTCGGGGGAAATGCAAATGGAAACCACAGGGAGCTCAGCCCTGCACGCTCAGGAGGTGGGAACCGAAAAGGACGCAGCTGCTGTGGAGAACCGTCTGGCAGGTCCTCAAAAGGCTATGCAGGATCCCCACGTGCCTTGGTGCTCCCACTCTGGGGTTGGTCTCTCCCCACGAGAAACAAACGCGTGTCCACCTAGTGATGGCTCACAAGTGTTGGGAGCGGCAGTGCTCGTGATAGCTAAAAAGTGGGAACAACCTCAGCGTCCCCCGGCTGAAGGGATAGAAGGCATGCAGCCTGTGCGTACGCTGGAGTGGGATTTGGCCAGAGAAGGAATGAAGTACTCTTCCGTGCCCCAGCATCGGTGAACCTTGCAGACAGGCTGAGTGAAGGGAGCCAGCCACAGAAGCTCATGTAGGATTCCGTTTATACAAAATGCCCAGAACAGGCAAATCCACAGAGGCAGGAAACAAGTTAATGGTTGTCTGGGGCTGGGGGTCTGAGGGGGAATGAGGAGGGACTGCTAATGAGTACAGGGCTTCTTCGTGGGGTGATGAAAAGCTTCTAAAATGGATGGTGGTGGTGGTTGCACAAATCTAAATAACACGAGAAACCACTGAATTGTACACTTGAAATGGGCCAATTGTATGGTATGTGAATTATATCTCAGTAAAGCTGTTAAAAACAATACGCAAGAGGGGCGCCTGGGTGGCTCAATCAGTTAAGCATCTGACTCTTAATCTCGGCCCAGGTCTTGATCTCAGGGTCATGAGTTCAAGCCCCGTGTTGGGCTCTACTCTGGGCATGGAGCCTACTTAAAATAACGGTAATAATAATACACAAAAAACCACAATGATATATAATTTCAAATCTTTTTAAATATATTCTGTTAGAGTTCTATGTTCATGACCTTACCATGCTGGGAGACTGTTTTGTCCGATGGGGCTGTGTCCTGAGTTTACTCCCTAAAACGTCAGTCACCCTTGTCCTCTCATTGGGATTAAGAAGTGTGAAATTTGTTGCCAGATGTCAAAAATGTGCCCTGGTGTCTGTGTGTGGCCCTTGGAAGCCTCTGGGGCAGCGGGAGGCGAGGAGGCGAGGAGGCTGCGGCTGGGGTGTCCGTGTTTGGGCGGATGGGCGAGAGGGAGCGCCTGCGCCCCAGCCCCGCCCCTGCAGCCTGGGCACCCTGGTCTCCTCCCGCACTCCCTGCTGCCACCTGCCTCTTCCTGTGCTTGCGCGGGACCCCTACCTAGAACGGCTTCCACGACCTGTCTCTGCCTGCCCAAGTCCTACCCCTCAGTTATTTTGGTCCTCTGCTTCCTCCTCCGTGCAGCCTGTTTGGATTTCTCTGCCCTCTCCCCAGTGCCTCTTCCTGAAGTCTCGGCCCTGCCTTGTCTGCAGCTCCCTTTGGAACGCCGCATGTCTGTCCCATGGGGTAGTTGGGCGTCCGTAGCTGTGGGCTCCTCTTCCGGGCTGAGGCCCAGCTGTGACCCGGCTCTGTGTCCCTAGCCCCCAGCACGGGCCAGATGCCACACAGTCCACCCCTGTCCACCCTGACGTCCGGTCTGCATCACAGGGCCTTGGCTCTCCGGATGGGGCTCAGCCCTCCCTTCGTGACCATGTGACGTTTGGTTGCTGCTTTTCTGAGATGGTCTTACAGTTCTCCACAGGCCTGAGGCTGGTGGGGCTGGAGCAGATTCGCCTCTGGCCTCTGATCAGCCTGCGCCACCACTTCGGCATGGGGATGTCCTCAGTGGCCTCCCTCCACACTGTCCCCTGCCCAGCTCCTCCCCTCCCCACCCCCCAGGTGCCCAGTAGACCCCATCTCCTCACCTCCCCCTTGGAACTCCTTCATCTCTGAGGCAGCACTCAGAGGCCGTGCCCCCGTCCCAGCTCCTCCCACCTCCAGGGGGATGGGGCCTCCGGCAAAGCATTTCCCACTCTCTCTGCTAAGGTTTCCTTAATCTGTAAAATGGGGCAGAGAAGCATTAATACTTTCGGCCCCTGGCCGGGCCCAGGCAGTCATCCATTTGTGTGTGTGTTTCCGTGTGAGGTTCTGACTGGGGAGCCACACCTGTCCACCCCAGGGACAGAGAGAGCCCAAGTCCATGCCACCTGGTTAGAGAGCTGTCCCAGTGCAACACTGTGTGGCCCCGGCCCAGTGCCTTTCCCTCTCTGGGTTTGTGTCCTCATTTGGTGCATAGGGTGGAGCACCTCTGCCCTGCACAACTCCGGGGGCCCAGCCGAGGGGCCCGCCAGAACGGAAGTCCCCTGAGGGCACAGTTCTTTTGCAGCTGGGTGTGGGAGCCCAGGAGAGAGCTGCAAAGGGCCTGGGGCCCACTCAGCCACCACACCCTGTGCTTCTCCCCCAGTTCCCGATGGGTCCAGGCTCGGACGGCCCGATGGGAGGCATGGGCGGCATGGAGCCACACCACATGAATGGATCGTTAGGTAAGCGGGCACCGGCCCCGTGGTCACACTGCATCCAACCCTGCCCCAGCGGCCGTCTTCAGCTCAGCCAGGCCTGGTCCCCGCGTGCCCCCCCCTCCCCCCACCACTGGCCTTGGCTGGGCCCGGATGAAGATCCACAGAGATCCAGCCAGGACAGGAGACTCTGCACAGAAGTAGTGTGGGATTTGGGTGGGTTTGGAGGCCTCTCCATGGAAGAGCAAACAGGAAACTGAATCTGAGTCTTCCTTCCTTCCAGGGTCAGGTGACATAGATGGACTTCCAAAAGTGAGTGTGTATTCTGTTTCCTCCCTGACAGCATCCACCCTGCCCCAGCCCCGAGGTCCCAGAAAGCTTGTCTCCCCGTCGGGTGGGCCAGTTGCTGGGGCGCTGGGGCTCACCTCCTCTCTGCTCTCTCCAGAATTCTCCTAACAACATAAGTGGCATTAGCAACCCTCCAGGCACCCCTCGGGACGACGGTGAGCTAGGAGGGAACTTCCTCCACTCCTTCCAGAATGACAATGTAAGTGCTGTGTGTCCGTCCCCCCCCCCCCAGTTTTGCCCTGGATTCCTCCTCTTATGGGGCCAGGGGCTGTTCATTGAACAAGTTGTGGAGCCTGCTGGCCAAGACCAGCCTGGCTGACTGGTGTCCCAGCAGCCATGCCACTGGCTTTCTCCTTGGTCCCTTTTCTCTACAAAGTGCAGAGCCCCCCACCCCCCACCCCTCACCCCCCGCATGGCCCCAACCACTGCCACCCTGACCACTGGCAGGTCCTTCTGGAGGCATCTACAGGGAGCCACAATGCCTCCAACGCCGAGAAAATGGATGTGGCTGGAAGAGCCCTGGGTTCTGGTGCTCTGGGCCTCTGGGCAGCATGGACTCTGGGGGGTCCACTTCTTTCTGTCCTGGGGAGGAAGTTTCATGCAACTAGAGATTTCCTGGGGTCTCTGTGCAGAGGGGCTGGCTTCTACTTACCACCTCATTTGAAGAAACAAGGTCATGCTCCAGCAGCTTTTGAGACCCCCGAGACTGGCTCCCGCACAGGGCACCCTGGCAGAGCCCTGGCTCGGCCCTGCAGGAAAGCAGCCCAGCCGGCCCTGGGTGGGGAGGGCAGTGTCTGGAGGGAGATTTGAGAAGGGGGGGCAGGGTGGGGGTAACGGCAGCCCCCGGAGCTCCCACCACGGCGAGGCACAGGCTAGTGCTGAGCCGGCAGAGCCATCCCAGGCTTCCCCACCCAGCCACACCCCCAGACGGGCCCTCTCCAGTGCCCAAGGCTCACACACCCTGGCCCTCACAACCCCGTCTCTGCTTCGCCCCTTCCAGTATTCTCCAAGCATGACGATGAGCGTGTGATCCCCTCCTCTTCTCCGAGACGCTGAGAGAGCCGGCATTTCAGGCGGGAAGATGCCAGAAATTATGCAAGAAGAAGTGAGGTGTCATTACCCAGGAGCTGGGGGAGGGGCGTCTCCCTGCTCCCCCTCAGCCCCCACCCTCCTCCTCCAGTCCCCCCACCTGTCCCAGTTTTAGTTTCATGCAATAAAAAGGCCGAACTTTTTATTCCATAAAACATGAAGGACAAAACTCAAAATAAAAATATATTTCAAGTCAGTGACCAGAAAAATCCCACCCCTTGCCCATTCCCAAAAGGACCTTTTATGTACGTGACACTTTTTTTTTTTGTTTGTTTGGGGTTTTACCGTTATTGGGATTTTTTAATTTGTTTTCAGGGGGGTTTTTTTGGGGGAAAATTTTTAAAAATGGAAGCTTCTAGCAAGCCCCCCTCACCCCACCTCAGTCAACCTCTTTGCTTTCTTCTTTAAAAAAAAAAAAAAAAAAAAAAAAAAAAAAAAAAAACCGAAGCCCTGCTGTCTGTCTGTACCCAAGCCCTTCCACCAGGAAAGCTAGTCTAGGTGTGAGGTCTCACGCTGTCTTTGTAGCCATCTAAAAATAATGATAATAATAATAAACTGGGCAGTTTACAATCGGTGGTTTCTTTCAAAAGGCCTTTTTTGGAAAGAGAAAAGAAAGTCACCTTTCTCCACTTGGGGTTTTTGGTTCGTGCGGATGGGCAAGGGAGGGTCAGGAACCTGTTTTGGTTTTGCTTGATTTCTCCTGGCCGAGGTGGTGCCGGCAGCTGCACACGTGGGACCCCAGAACCGTCCCCCCTCCCCCACTATGTGGCCCGAGGGGCCCGACCACCCGACCGCTTTCAGGACTCCGCCGCGGCGGAGACGCGCTGTGACCTGGTGGCATGCACTGTGTTCCCAGGGCCGCTTCCTCCTCTCTCTCTTCTGGACCTTCCCCCGCCCGGCCTCCCTGCCGCTCCAGCCCCGTCCTCAGCCCCCACCCCAGTCTTCCCAGCGAGAATCCTGCCAGCTGGGCGGTGGCCTGGGCGGAGCGCCGTGGGGGAGGCCGCCCCCGACAGGATGGCTATGACCTGGGACATGGCAACTGTGACCCCTGCGTGCTCGTCCCGTGGCCCTGGCTCGCATCGTCCTCGTCGTGTGTGTGGGCACCGTGGGGCTGGGGTTTGGGTTTTCTTTTGTTTTTTGGGTTTTTTTCCTCTTGATTCTTGCTTCTTTTTCAAAGATGGGAAATTGACCAGAATTGCTCTGTATACGCTTGGAACTGGATGGAAAGACTTCGGAATAGCTGTGGGGGGCGGGGGACACCAATCAAACAGACGTGCTGTTTCGGTCCTGTTTTTATTTTCAAAAACCGACAAATGCGACAGTGGAGCCTCTCCCCTCCCAGGAGGGGTGACTCACGGCCTCCCTCACCTCACCGCTCCCATCGAAGCCTCTGTGTCTTGCCCTGAAGACACCTGAATTCTTTGTACATTTACAGCCCCTCCTCCCCGCACCCCTGTAGCTGCTGTCTGTCCTCCCTCCCTCCCTCCCTGATCCATGTATATCATACTATGTGAGATACCATCTGCCTGAAAAAAGACCTTGTGCGGATTATTGGGAACATTGTAGCTGTTTGTGTTTTTTCTTACCTTGTAGTCTGGTTCTGAATTAAGAGAGGAAAAAAAAGTAATTATGATACATTGTAGTTTGTGTACGATATATGTTGATAACGTTTTATTAAAGGGACATCTTTTTTCCGCAGCCCTTCCTGACATGTTTGGCGGGGGGGGGGGAACGTGGGCCGGAGTTTATTATACTGACTACAGAATGCAAGGTGACTGGTTGGGCAGTTTTTGTTGCTGGTGCATAACAAGATCTTGTTTTGTGTTCACGGTGTCCACCCTCTTTTCCTGGGCGTGTTAATCTGTATTTTGCATTTGCTGTGCAGGGTAGTAGTGGCCTTTGGGGATGGGGGGTTGGGAAGGCCACAGTCTCATGTGGGACATTTGGGGGCATTCTAAAATGCACCTTCAGCTTTTTGTCTTGCAGACACACGCTGGTTTGCCGGAAGGTATTTTTCAGCAAGTAGAAGAGGTTCCTGGTTCCATGTTCCGCGGGGGGTCCACACAGACCAGGGGGGCCCCCGGGAGCTGTAGCCACACAGCCTTTCCCACTCGGGTGGACTCCGCCCTAGGCCAAGGCGGGGGGCCCCCCAGGACACTGATTCTCCTGTTTTCAGTTTGGTCTTGTTTTCACCTCCAAGGATTTTCAGGGTAGCCTTCGGCATCCTGGCAGGGGGTGGGGAGACGTGGGGAGACCCAGTCCCAGCCTCCGTCTACACAGTAGAGCCGGGGCCACGTAAGCCGTGGGGTGTGCGCGTGTGCACATTTAGAAAGTAGGACTTCTGCTTCCCTCGAGCTCCCGGGACCTTGCTCCAGGCCCGCAGGAGGGGAGGGAAACCGTGTTGGAGCCAAATGTGGGCTCAGTAGACCTTCACGAGGTCTGACCCTTCCAGACACAAACTGCCAGTTTCAGATCTGTTTTTGCCACTACTTCCCTGTGGCCGTGGGCGAGTGCGTTCCTCCCCGTGTCCTGTTTCCTCATCTATAAACCTTCCTCACAGGGCGGTTGTGAGGATGAGCTGGCGCTCGTGAGGGGCTTGCACCAGGAGGGGCCGCAGAGTTAGCGGCCGGTGCCCCTGTACTCCAGCTTGGGATGGGGAGTCCGAACAGGGTGCCGGGAACAGCTGGGAGGGCCTAGTAGATCGCATCTCGCCCTTCCCTCCTCTTGAGCGAGGTTTCTGGTCTCTTCTTCTCCACACAGACGCCTCTGACTAGGCAGACCTCACGGCTGGGGCAGACGCACCCAGACTGGGACTGAGCCGCACTCGGCTCTGAAGGCTTTTGTTCGGGAGCCCTGAGCCTTTGCCAGCGGGCCCCAGGCTGCCGGCGCTCTCCAGGCAGGCTGGAGCCATGGTGCGGGGTGCTGAGCTGGGAGGGGATCCTGCCTCGAGCCTCACTGTCTCCCCCACCCCTGCTTACGGGGTGACAATACCGAGCGCGCCCCCCCCCCCCAGCAAGCACCTCAGGCAGGGCGTTCCTCAGAGCTGGGGACATCTGAGTGTTCCCTGTCCCCAGAATCATCCAGCGGGCGCTCATTCATGGAGGAACTGGATGTTTGTTGGGTAGTCTCCCCTGCATACTGTCACCTGTGGGCAGCAGCTCAGGCAGGGGAAAGGGCCTTCACGGCTCCCGTGGACCCAGGCAGACTGCTGTCAGCGTCTGCTGGCAAACCGGGAGCTCCTGGAGAAGACACCAGGGCTCATTCTGTAGCTCCGGCTCCCAGCACGAGGCCAGGCACATAGCAGGTGCTTTTAAACTGGGCGGAATTGCTGGACTGCCCCTAGAGGAGGTCTGTAGCGGGGAACCTCAGGGCTCAGTCCCCAGGCCTGACCTAGCGTTAGGTGCCACCATGGTCCGGCTGGGGATGAGATCCGTGCTGTGTGTGTTGGGGTGGGGGGTGGGGTGACGGCTAGAAGGGGCTGTGCTGCTGCGGACAGGCCAGACTCTTCACCCTGGGCAGCAAGCCTACCCTGGATGCAGGTGGGGAGGCTGAGGTTGCGGGCACTTGGGATTTGGGGGAAGTGGAGACCTCTCTGTGGAAAAGGCAGCTGTCATCACGTGTGAGACTTCCAGCTCTTCACACTACATAACACCACTCGGTCTCTGAGCCTCAGTTCCCCTTCCTGTGGTGGGGGGGTAAAACACAGCAGTCCTGTCTGCTTCACCTTGCAGCTCAGTTGCGCGGGACCAGAGCTCAGCTCTGAGATCCACAGGGGACACACCAAGGCCAGCCCACTAGGGCTGTTGTCAGTCAAGGTGGACTGCTGCCCAGGCCCACCCTGCAGCACTGGCCCCTCTCAGGGCAGCCTTGAACTGCAAGGTCACCTGCTGGCAGTTGGCTGGCATGGTTGGCGGACTCACAGCCTCCCTCCCACAGGCTGGCTTTGCCCTCAGCCCGCCACCCCTCCCTCTTCCACTGGTCTCCAGGGGTTTCAGCCAGCCCCCCCCGGCTCCAAGCTGCCACCACCATCCCACCAAGCCTAAAAGGTAAGTTGCAAAGTGGATGGAGGATGAGCATGGGAGCCACACAGGTAGGAGCTCCACTTTGCCATTTACAAGCTCTTGAGGCCGTGACGGTGCTCCCAGATGTCTCCTCGGAGGCCCTGCAGCAGGGCACACCTAACTGCTTCTGTGGCTACCTGCTCTCAGCCAAGTCCCTCTGGGAGTCGCCTTCCACCAACCTCACCTGAGTTCTCTCCCACTCTGAGGAACAGTGTGTACACAATCCAGTGACTGGTGGCAGGCCAGTGGTGTCCGCAGAAAGGCTCAGCTCCTCACCTCTGGATGGGACAGCTCTGCTTCAGAGCAGCCACAGAACTGGGAGCTGGCCGAGACCTCAGATGCAAACCCACAGAGAGCTCAGGCTCTCTGCCCAGCACTGCCCCATCACTCCCCACAGGGGCTGGTCCTCTAGGCCCTCCCCAAACTCACCTGCACATCCCCAAGTGTTCTCCTAGGAAACTGACCTATACCACCCACCATGTGACCTAGGGGACCTTATACTATCGGAGTTCCCTTATCTCGAGGGCGCAGAACAGTGCCCGGCACATGGGCACTCAACCACTTCCCTGAACACGGAAACGACATGTGAGGATTAAACAGGGTGCTGTGTCTAAGGTGCTGGGCCCCGAGCAGAACTTGGATGTGATGTGAACAGAGAGAGGCCAGCAGAACCAGGGATGTACTTGGTCTATTAATCCGGATGCTAGGGAGAAATGTACGATGAATGTTCTATTCAGATTTCCTGCAGGCATTATGAAATGTGCCCACAATTTAGAGAGTCCCGTGAGAACCTAGGGAGCATTAGAGAGCACCTATCCTATGGCAGATGCTCCAGACGCATCTACAGTCTTCAAAACAAGGGAGACCATGTTACTCTCAAGTTTCAGGTGAAGAAGGTGAAACTCAAAGAGACGAAGATTCCTACCTAAGTCCAAGTGGGCTGTGGGCAGAGCCGGGCTCAAGGTGGGGCAGGTCAGGCTCCCGAACTTGCACCTGCACGGAGGCCGGCTCACGGCGCGGCCCACGTACAGCTACGGGCGCCCCCCCTGACGGCCCCCCACACCAGGCCCAGGCTCCAGTGTACCAGGAGGCTCTTTATTGGCAGCCAGACAGCAGGCCGGATGAGCACGGAGGCTCCGGGCAGGCCCAGCACTGCTCTGGATACAGAATCTTCTGCGGGAGGGGGGCAAGGGGGCTTCAGACCTCAGAATGGTCCTTGGCTCACACAGCACCATGCAAATACAGAGCTAAAAACTTCCTGAATGTCTCCGGCTGGAAACCAGTTGGCCCAACAGGTTCCTGGAAAGAACACAGCCCATTAGGATCCTGCTACTAGGTTTAATGGCAGCACTGAAAACAAAAGTTGGTTTTATGCAAAACCTAAATGCCTGGATAGTCACTGTCTCCTCTCACAGACCAAGGAGGGGCACCAGGGAGCTGGCAGTGAAGAGATGCCTGAGGGGCTGGGGGGCATGAAGCTCTCCTAGTGCTCTTGGCTAGACCGTCTGTTGGCACCACCCTCACCCCCTATCCCTCTCACCTCAACCACCACTAACCAATGCTCTGTTGCCCCCTTTTCATTCCTGGGGACAATAATCCCTCACTCGTCCACACACATGGATCAGGTCCCTTCTCTCTGTACTGGGCCTGTGCCCCGTGCTAGAAACCCGACAGTGGCCTGAATCTGGCTCTGCCCTCAAGGAGCTTACAGCCAGATGTTCCAAACAGTGATAATAAAAGCTGACAGGCCTCACAGCAGACATAGGGAAAAGATGCTCAGAAAGCAGAGAAGAAGAGAACTCATGGTCTCCTGTACGTATGAACTGAGTCTTCTAGAGCAAGGAGAATGGGCCAGAGAGGAAAAGAAAAGGCATGTGTTCTCCGAGAGACGAGTCTACGCGCCAGTGCAGAGGCAGGAAGCAGAAGGGCGAGGCTGGAGCCCAGGGCCTGTGTTGGGGGCCGGGGGCAGGAACCATCTGACCAATCAGGAGGCGTCTACCGCTAAGTCAGTGTTCTGGAAGGGAGGACCCAGAGACACGTTG